CACTACACTACACTACACTACACTACACTACACTTGATAAGTACACTCATTACACTACACTACACTACACTACACTACACTACACTTGATAAGTACACTCACTACACAACACCAATACACTCACTACACTGAAAGACTAGTACACTCACTACACTAGAGTAGTTTATCCTTGTGATATCCTAAAGAGACGAAGAACACGAAAGATTGGAATTTGTGATTTCATTCATGAGCCGATAACTGATGTATCGCTCGTAGTAGTGGAATGGAAATTCTGGCACAGCAGCCATGCGTGATGAGAGGTTTTCATTTTGTTTGTTTTTTGTTTTTGTTTTTAATTCATTCTTTAAAATTTTTTGATTGAAAGATAGATATTTTGTTAGTGTAAAGACAAGATAAAAAGGTTATTTTTATGTCTAGACGTAATAGATTACTTTGCTGACGTCACAGTACTTAGTTTATATAGCTTGTGTGTTTTCTGTGTGACATCAAATGTTATGTGTATGCGAATCGTTGTCAAAAATTGTTCCTGGAAGATGTGAGGGATGCGAAAAAGAATGGCCAAGTCAGCGATATCATCTCTGTTGTATCCTCAGCTACTTTGAAATTTTCAAAATTCACCTTAATGCAGTCAAAAACAAAATTGATATTGATTTTCTCTTTGGACTGTGTTCTCTCATGAAGGACATTTCGTCTATCCCGCCGTGTAATGACTTAATTGAATATTGAATGGATTAATCAATTGAAAGAAACGTCAGCCAAAGTAGTATGGAAAGGCCGATTCTCAGACACAAAGAACAATAAATCCACAGGGTGCATTGGGGATTAAATGGGGATTTCCATAGCAGGACAATAGATCCACGGGGTGCATGGGGATTAAATTGGGATTAAAATGGGTCTACCACACTCCACGGGGTGCATTGGGGATTTATGGGGAACTTATGATTCATCCCTATTTTTAGAACGGTAGGACTCTGAGTCAATGACGTYATATCATTTCTTGTTCAATATATTCAGAAAAAARCGAGCACTTATGTTTAATTTCTTGAGATCCTTGTTGAAGAAGATGGCAACCCTCGAGAAAATTAGGGAAGAGATGAAAATGGATATTTTTGACTATGAGGATTATATCCAAGCGGGGACATGCTTGAAGTCTTTAAAAACACTTTATTGAGGATATTATGAAGAAAMYTSAAAATACTAAGATGAAGGCAGCTCMCAAAGATGGACTCRCAAACTTGATGAGGATGATGAAACTTTTACACAGTGATTATATGGCATATTCATAAAGATTGATTATTGTCAACCCGTAATGAGAGAGTTAAGAAAAAGGCCAAATAATTGATGATGTATCATATTGGTATTTGACSTCATGTCTATTTTAAGCGTTCAAAAGTATTTTATTGTATCTTTTAAGAAAACGTTTGAAGATCAGATTCTTGTGAGCTTCATTCAGTATGGATCCCTTTACATATATGAAGTAAATCCTCATTTCGACCTATGCTGTGGAGGTCTGAAAACACCTATGTGAACTTGTTATGAGACATTGCTGTGGATGTAGGAATGCTCTCAGAGGCGACGACTGTTTAACCCTCACAGAAGATGAAAAGATTGAACTTGACTTTAATGAAGCCCTCCAAAAGGTTGACAGACAGAAATTGATTTTAAAATAGAGTTACAATGGGGGTGCTGTTGTTTATTAGTAGATGACATCAAATTTTGCAGATTTTGCTAATTTTTTTCTCTGACATCATAAAATCTATTCTATAAAACCAACATCACACTGAACTGTAAGCTATTCAAATGTTGTTAACCATCCTTCTACTCATCTACTGTTTGTATCGAGACGTTTTTGATGGCCCACTCTGGAATATCCAAGATAGACTTGACGGTGTTGGTCAAAGCAACAACAACCAGAAAGATGGAAAGAAACCTCTCAACTTAGTGGTTGATGAAGCCGAATTTTTTGGGCACATTAAAGTCAGGCAAGCATAGCGATTCCTATTTTCTGAAATCAGCTTCAGAGCAGCATTCAAGAATTTTGTATGTGAAGGGAGTGTCACGAATGACCAAACCAAAGAGATCATGATTGTTGCATGAAAAGTGAATGGTACATATTCCTTGCCAGCTTTAACGATGATGTAAAGAAAGAAGTGGTTATGAACTTAA